TTCCTGCTGTCTATTCTCTCTGCATTTACTTCCCTTCACTGCCCCTTAAAGTGATAAAAATCAGGCTTGGTCGTCTGGACTGCTTCAGAGAAACACTTCACCAGAGGGAGGTTACACTCATCATGAAGCACAAGAACAGACACTAAGTACCTGATCAATCAAAGCAGTATATTTTTCTTTCAAAGAACGCATTTGTTTTAATATCTGGCCTCATCTGGTAGTAGCCTATGCCAGGCTAGTAAGGTCAGCCTGTGAGTGGCATCACGTTCCCGGTTCCTCCTTAATAGATTTACCTAGATTTTTATGCATCAACGCTGAGTCGATATTTGTCTTCTCTGCGCGCCTTCCTGGAGAATAATGTGGACGCCGACGAGCTGCATCATTTGCAAAGAAAAGGAAAAGAGAGGGGGATTCGATCGGAGTCCCTGCGCCCTCCTCCATTATCTCTGCGCGCGGGGGGAGCGTGCGCCCTCGGCAGACAGTCAAGCGCAAAAGACACACGGCTCATCCGCTCGCCTCCCCATTGACGTCAGTCCGGTATCACATGAACGAGCAGGGACCAATCGGCACTGCGCTGCCGGAGAGTGCTGGCTCCTGAACGTCAAGCTAGGGGGAAAAGACCGAATAAAAGGAAACAGTGGCAACGAGCCTGTAATGACCACTAAACCCACGGAGGAACCTAGAGCCGCCGCCATTGGATATTTCGCCTCTTTTCTCCTTATTCTCATGCGTTCGTCGCTGTGGATTATTCTGTTTTACACCGTGGCGGACGGAATGGATAAGGCCATGGCCCTAACATATTAAATAGCTCGCTGGTGGTGGTGGGGAGGCGAGACGCGCACAGTGAAGACAATTCATGGGGCATTGTGTGGGGAGAAAAATGGTGGATTATTTGCACAGTACCATGAAAAACTTACGTCTTCTGGATATCCTGCCATAAGACGCTATTAGGTGGCGTTTCTGCGCCTGTGTCGGCCGCGTCTGCAGTAACTGAGGTCGTTTTAAAAGCTGTCGGTAGGTAGGTACCCCCCTCGGCTCGATCCCAACGACCTTATCCATTTCTGATTTCTATATAGGCTTACGTGAAGGATTCTTGTATCACTGCAACGCGTTCACCTCCCCTGTCTCAGAGTAACATTTGGAAACAGTGACCCGTTGGATTACTGAACCATGGATTTCAACGGCAGCAGCGGCGTTGGGAGCAACGAGCTTCACAACAACCAGTTTTATCAGTGCGAGGAGAACAAGCCTCTGCTAGGGGAAATGTCGGAGGGGAATAATAACACCAAACTGGGCGCAGGGCCGTGCAAGAGGTCCCTCCACCACTGCAGCAGCAGCGGCATGCGATACAAGCTTCTCCACGAGGGGGACATCCAGGTGTGCGTGGTCAAGCACCCCCGCACCTTCCTCAGCAAGATCCTCACCTCCAAGTTCCTGCGGAGATGGGAGCCGCACCACCTCACACTCACGGACAGCAGCCTGATCTCAGCCACCGTGAGTTGCTTTCTAGCTTCGACCGTGCTCGCGTGTGTGCGTGAGAGAGGGATTATGAAATATGCAACGTTTTACATTCCACGGGTAGTTTTGGTGTTGGTCTTTTCTTGTCTGGACGTAGCAGACGCGCACCGAGATAACGCACAGTCTGTTGTTGACGCAGTTTACCAGAAGGCAGCGTGGCGGTGGTTTCAGGGCCCATTGTGCTGACAGAGTTGGCAGTACTGTTGCTGTCGCCTGCACCCTGTCATCCCCACATCCTCATCCTTCATCACTTTGTTGTGCAACTGATCTTCATGTGACCACAGTGGGGTACAGAGGACGCAGAGGCCCCTTGAAGCCCAGGTCTCTCAGACGTGTCCATGTGCCTCTTAAGGGTCATTATTTGGCTCCAGTGGGCTTTGAGCAGGTCTAAACAATTAACAACAAACGTAACAACAAATGTATCCTCTTGTTAGTCACTAGGAAAAACTCATCAGCAGGCGGCCTGAGGAGCCTGTTAGGTTTGTGCAATAGCCTGCAGTTGTGTTGTGTTCATGTGTTGCTTCCTGCTGGTCAAATGGAAGGCAGGATGGACTGAACAGATGTTCTGATAATGTGCCATCTTCATTAACATTGGTACTGTTGTCCTTCTGATCATGTCAGCTGCCAGTTTAGCTCTGATGGTGTGAATACATTGGGGGTATTTCCTCCGGTGCCGACGTGGCGGCCTAGGCCCTGTTGATCGGCAGCCAGGACTACACAGGGCATTGGTCTAAAGCCAACATGCCTATGTGTCATCATAATTATATTGATGGGTATAAATACACCTGTGATAGACTGGCTACCTGTCCAGGGCGGACCCCGCCTCTCATCCAATGTCAGCTGTGAATGTCTCCAGCCCCCCCTTTTCAGGATTAGTGGTGTAGGTAATGGATGGATGTAAATACAAAGGAGGAGAGACTAAGATCTGTACCTGGAAATCTAAACAGTGGCAAAACCAAAAATATTTATTTTTCCCTTAATTTCATCATTACTTTCCATAGCATACCTTTTGAGTACACAGACTCCCAGTAATTATTTACCACCACCGGAGTCGAGCCTTGGTCATCAGTTGTATTTGTCAGTAATTCAGTAATGTTGAAACAATAAAAGCCTTTATTTTCCCTCCTGCTAATATCAACACTTCTGACATTTTCCACAAAGCCAGGCCCATTGTTTTATCAAAACACCTTGTTAGGGGCGTTTTGGATGTCTGCCTATCACACCTACGCTAGAGGAGTGTGCTGAAGTTCAAACTGCACTAGGCCATATCTTGGAGACTGTTATTGTAGACCTGGGAATGTGGTCACGGGTAACCCAGCTGAACTGTTTACCTATGTGTTTACAGTTGATTTTAGTCCACTAATGCACATCAGTAACATCATCTAAATCAACTGTGCACATCACACTCAGAATAATTATACAAGTTGTGAAAGGATATTGGGCTTTTATGGGAAAACGCATGAAAAGTTTTGCCCTTAATGTCTAAATTTACATGCCAGTCACTGACTGAAGGATACAGCTTAACCTTCTTGCATTTGCACCGACACTGATCACTTGTTGATGATTTGTGTTCCTGATGTGGTTGTAACTTTATAATATAAATTGAAAAGATGTTTCTAATGAATCTAAAAACCATGCTTGGGCAGGAATTACTTGACCAGGAAGACTTTGGTCATGGCTACAGCCTCCTGGCAACCAAATAACAGGCTGCGTGCACCACACTGCTTCATGAATCCATGCTTTGACCTTTAAAAGAATACAAGTTGCTTTTGGTAGATTCTTCTTCTTTGTCCAAAATGGCACTGTCAGTGTGTACTCGGTGTTCCACAAAGCATTGCTTGCTGGTCAGCTGTCTGTAGGGCTACAGGAACTCTGGACACCCTCACCTTTTGGATGGATGTGCAGGTTTGGCTTGTTAACCTGTAGTCCTCTGCTGGCAGTATAAGACCTACGATGTCGTATGTACACTCAATCAGGGTCTGCGCCAGACAAGGTTATGTCATGTCTGACAAAGACTGTAGACAGTTACTGCATTTGGTTATGTAATTTAAATTCTAATGTTAGAGAGAGTGTCATCATGTCCTTTGTTTGACATTTGCATTATAGTTGCAGCCCAAGTTAGGCTCTAGTTTGACTGATAGCAGGAGCCGTGCTAACAGTATTTTCATGGGTAGGGCGGTTTGTGTAGGTCTCTTGTGAGTAATTGTAAGAATTCATAGTTCCAAATAATGTCCAGTGAAGCAGCTTCTTGGCTGGGGGCCTGTGTGATCACACACCCTCAGCATGAGTTTCAGTGGTACACTGTGGGCTTCAACACATAGCAGTAACTACTGATTGTAGTCGCAATGGGAAATTAGGTTAACCTTTGACCTTTGGCGAGTCAACAGCAGCTTGTCACAAATGACGAATAGGAAATCAGCTCCGTGGGAGCAGGAGTTTGGCAATACTTAATTATTCATGTCTTAAGATGGTAGTCATGGAAAGTCTCTTTCATTCTTGGCCCTAAATGCTCATTACTGTGGTGTTTTCGTATTGCCACTTCCCAGGGATCTTTAGACAATGACAGGAGTATTTTTCATGGGAATTTCTGTTTTTATGCCAACTTAGCTCATCTGTTTACTCCAAACAATCCATAAATGGTTACTTGACACCAAGTGTTACCAGCAGCTATTGCAAAAGCATCTGGATGTCAATTGAATCGCTTTAGTGTTTCACAAGATAATCTAGTACATTCAGTAGGCACTTTATTTTGTACACCTGTACAGCATTTGCCAACATTTCTACCTTTATCAGCTTTGTAATGTTCAGCATTTGTTCATACAGGAAGAGGAGAGGTGTCAGTCTGAGTTGGTAACGCACGTTGTAGTTACTGTTGTTTCTACCTGTGAAAGTAGACCCTGAATGCGAACATTCATTTATATGAAAACATGACTATTTCTAGCCCACCTTTCTCCAGGACGTGTATCTGTAATGTGTCTGATTGTGCACATCACAGTTTAGCTCCATCTGCACTTTACATTTGCCGTTTTATGGAACGTAGCTACAGCCTTTCTCTGACCTTAACCAAGTGTCGTAGCTGTCTAACCCCATCTGTACCTGTAGCTATAAAAAGTGACAATTTTACATTTGGCTTATGACATTTAAAAACTGCCCAACACTGCACTTTCTGTCTAGTCATTGGGGTGTGTTTCAGCATGGAAACAATAGTTTCACTTGCTATTTCCAGTAAATCTTGTGGTGAAAAACTTCACAACAACGCACTGAGTAGACCTTGATTTAAGACTTTGTCAAATGCATATGAGAAGTCCACCTTCAAAGATATTCTGTAAATCTGTAATTTGAACTTCTGTTGCCTAGAGCAGTATCTTGCCAAAGCTCTCACATGCTTATTGTAGCTGCTGTGTTGTTCTCGCTTCAAAACTCCAGACGGTAACAGCCACTGACTGCTGAGGACAGGCTGACGTCTCATAAATCATCTCACAAAACCCTCCAGGACTAATGGAAATGTTCTGTAAGGTGATAGTGCACCTCGGTGGTTTTAAGCCATCAACTCAACGCCTTAAGCTATGCATTTTGTTAACATAGTAGAAAAGACGAACACTAGTCAGAATGGTGCCATTTGTCCTTTACTGAACTTTAGCGTGCTTTGTATTTATGACAGGATACAGAATCTGTATCGACCCATGTAGGAGAAATTATGATGCCTTTTTTTATGAAGTCATGTGAGGTGACCTGTGTGTTGGAATGTGTCTGCAAGCCGGTTGATGATGTCACACATTTTTCTCTGTGAAGGCTGAAATGTGAGGATAAGGGTTTCGTCCAGGGTGAAGCATGAATGTGCATTTCCTGGGTGGAGTTGTTATGCTCAATATGTGGGTGGGAGAACAATGCTGACCCGTTCCCTCCGCTCTTTTTCAGAGAGACTGCTTCCAACAAGGAGGCAAGAAGCGTTGACTTGGCATCTTCAACAACATCCCCACGCATAAGAAACAATTGAGATGACTGTGAGAAAAGAGCTTTGTGAAACCGAATGTGACTGCTAAGAGGGTTCCATTAGTTTCAGAAGCAAAAATTGCGTGTCCTGTTTAAGTTACAGCAGTGTTCATTTGTCCAAAACTCAAATCCTGCTACAGAATTGTCTTATTTTGAAAGCTGCACAGAAAGTCGCACTAAATAGCAGTTGGTTGTTAATTTCTTAGATTTTTACTGAACATACTTTTCCTATATGTACACACGAGAACAGTAGTGTGTGTGAGAGATGGCTCAGGGCAAGAGAAGAGTTGTGATTCACGTCTTTCTTTTGACAGACCTGCCTGCTGCGACTGTAGTCAGAAACATAACCTACGTCATATTTCCACAAGAAGGGTGCTAGTGCAAGCAAGTACTTCCTGTGTTGCTCCTTCCTCACTAAAGACCTCCAATGAAAGGAGTCTGGTTGTGCCGTGAGCATGAGGGTCTCAGTATATATAGCAAGGAAAGAGGTGGGAACCCTTTAGAAATCAATCAGGAAGGCTTGAGTGTTTCCTGGACACGTATGGGGCGTGAAGTGTCTAATGATTATGTAAGAAGCCGGAGAGGGAGGTATGTTTCTAAGCTGCATCAGTTGATTTTAATGATGGCCTCTTTCTAGTTAGGATCAGTGTGATCCTCTGTGTCAGTTTTGCTTTCATTCAAGATCTTTTTGGTTTTTAATTAGCAACACATAAACGCCTTCTAAAGGTCACAGCTAACATTTTATTTGAGAACGATCTGCAGCAAAAGAGCCGATTATCTGCCAAGTGTACTGGCCTTATATTAGAAAGTTATTTTATTGCCTCAACTCCTGCAAGTTCTTTTGCAAGTGGTCATAAATCTAACATTCGCTGAGAAGTCCTCGTGTGTGTGTGTGTTAAATGCACAGTGGACTATAAAAATCTCTGACTTTTCCCCTTTTTCCATGATGGCCGTGTTGCACATATCCATCTGTGTGATAGATC